GGATCAAATATATGGTAGCTGAAGGAAACTGGACTCTGGGTGGTAATCACACAATAAAATATATAGATGTCAAATTATAATGTACACCTGACAATCATATAATTATATTAACTAATGTTACCCCAATAAACTTAAAAAAATCCAAGCTTCCCCCTCTATGCTAACTGTCTCTAAACATTAGCTCCAACGTACTAACAAGACTACAAAGCATGGTGTAAAGACAAATGCTAAAACAGAAGAGCAAAAAAAAATGTCTGGAAATTCAGAAAGAGCTATTAATTCCAAGTTGGGGACAGGGAGAATAAGGGCGTCAGGAAAGACTTCAAAAGGACTGGGCATTTGAGCTGAGCCTAAAATAATAGTTTTCCAATAGGCAGGAGGGGGTTGTAAAGCCATTGCAGCATGAGTGAATAGCATGAGAAAATGCACAAAAGTTGGAAAGTGCATAAAATGGTCAACAAATAGTCCAGTGTGGCTTCAACGTAGGTCACTTGGTGGGATATGAGAATAAATGGAAAGGTACTGAAGGATACAGAGCTTTGAAAGCCTTGCTAGGGAATCTGGTGATATTTTATAGATGAATTCCCACTGAACGTTTCTTTTTTAAAATTGAGAGCATGATATAGGGCCAGTGGGTGCAAATAGTCCAGCTGTGCTGAATGAAGATTACTTGCTTTACTTCATGGAAGAAAAGATGAGAAATCCACACTGATTTTTACTCTCAGGTAGCAACATTTTAAGACAAGTAACATCTGGATCAGCCCTGATACTACAGGGGCTTGCCTGAATTATTTTTTCCAGGAAAGAAGATGAAACAATAGATGAAGTTTTGACTTTAAGCACACCTCAGGAACAATTTGGGGAATGACTGTCTCCCAGTTTCCAACTAAGAAGAGCCCATCAGTTTCTTGCTTTGATACAAATACCTACATACCCCACATTCACCCTTCTTGTTAGCTGATGGAAAATTCTATAGCTATCAACTGATTAAATGTGTGTTCTAGAGGGAATCTGAGACACACAATATTTCCAAAGGATCTGGTCCAATTGTATTGTGAAGATCCCCAACTGTGAAAACAAAATCCACAACTATTGGAATTCTAGGTTATGGGAGTTCTCTGGATTAAAAAGCAAGTTATAAAAAACTTCGATAATCATCTAAGTCAACAGTCCCCAACCTTTTTGGCACCAGACACCGGTGCTCCTATGAGAATCTAATGTCTGAGGTGGAGCTGAGGCGGTGATGCTAGCGCTGGGGAGTGGCTGCAAATACAGATGAAGCTCCACTTGTTTGCTTGCCTCTCACCTCCTGCTATGAAGCCCGGTTCCTAACAGGCCACAGGTTGGCTACCCATCTGCTGCCCAGGGGTTGGGGCCCCTGGTCTAAGTTGCAACTGCACGTTGCAAAAAGCTTACCTGCTCTTTTTTTTTCTCCACCTTTAATGTCCAAGTGTGGCTGGTTATCTTTCATTTTAATTCCTAGATGAAATATAAGTTCAGACCTGACCTTAATAGAAATTAACTAGAGATAGTTGCTGAACTTAGGGGTACATGACACCTTCAGTTTAGGCCTTCTCCCCAATACATACAAGGTTAGGAGAGAGAGGAAGTTCAATAGAAAGATCAGTATTTGTTCACTGATCCTACTATCTATATTTACCAATTCTAGGCAGTAATGAAAAGAGGATAATAACAGCAAAAGAGGCAGAGGGTAGAAAAGGCAGGAATGACTCGATACCAAATTATACTCTGGCATGCTATACCACAAACCCCCAGCCAGAACCTAACTTTAGTTAAGTCTAAACAGGTAGTACAGCCAACATGGCTTTGGCTCTGTAAACTGTACAGACAGGACAGTGGGATCAGGGGAATTTCTTCTTAACCACACACTCCTAAAGGACTTTTGTATCCTGTTGCTGTCTCCAGGAGCTGAGCTCTGACCAAAAGGGATCAGTAAAAACAGACTGCCACCAATTGCAAAACATTGGCCAGCAAACAAATGCAAGGATGAGAGTAAACAGTTCTGAAGGCGGGACAAATGGACTATCCATGAAGCAATTTCTGTAGTTGGTCCCCAGGAAGACCATCATCTGAGGTTCAGGACTACTGGGGAAGAGTCTCAGATGAAGCCATAAACCTGTTACCTCTAGATGGGGTACCTGGCTGTGGAAGGCATAGTGGCACTGGGTCGTTTCAGAGCCACATTCCATGGCTTTGCTGAATGAGGATGAGAACCAGGAATCCTCGTGAGGGTTAAAAAGCTTAAGGCATCCTGATGAGACATCCTATGTGAAAGGCTGAGCACAAGTTCTGGGACTCAAGACTGGAATAGAAGCATCTGTGTTCCCTTTCTCCTAAATCTGTCTTCACCCCTTTCCCCAGACTAGTCCAGATGTCAGCTAGTAGCACACAGTTGTGTCTTCTTATATAGAGTGATTCTACTCCTTGAACATGAAACTAAAGGATCTGTCAATGTCAACTTGTTTTGTTTGTACCCTCCTACAGACACAGACAGTGCTGTTTATCATCTTTATGTTGTTTGTGCTTTATCTGTCTCACTAGACTTCAACTGAAGAACTAGGACAATGTTTTCGCCAGTTTTAGCATGCAACTTTATTAACATGTAAATGAAGTCGCAATGAATACACTTATGTCGATATAAAGCACAGAAGTATAGCTTACCAGGATGAATAGTTTCGTTATCAGGTCATGTTACAAAAATACTAAAATTATCTCAATTTATATAGCACAAAAATCAACAAATATTCCAGCTCTCAAGAGCATTAGGTATCTATAAAACTGCCTCCTTCAATCAACGCAGATGACATAAATATTGAACTTATCATATGCACTGGTTTCATACTATGACACCAAAATTGTTCAAGGCTTTGTGAGAACATTAGGCTATTCAGAGTTTGAGTATTAATCGTGTAACTTTATCTCTCACCTCAGGATCACTGTGCTCTGCTAAGTCTTGGAGTTTCTGACCAAACTCTTTTGCTTCCTGGAATATGGAAATAAGTTCAGATTTAGTGAACTCTTCCTTGGTAAACAGCTTCACCTTCTTTTTGAACTGGAAATTTATATTCTCAAATATTTCAATGATATTAAGAATATTGGCCTTTGACTCATTCTTGTTAAAAGGTGCAACCAATGATGACAGTACTTTAGCACTGATCAGTTCTCTTGTATTGGCCTGATTTTTAGACAAGCGCAAAAATACTTTTAAAACATAAAACTTGGTTTTGACACTTCCCTTGTTTAACAAGGTGAGGAAATCTGGAATATAATTGGCAATCATATGGTGATCCTCAAATTTCACACTCAAGTGCTCTAATAATTTTAGTCCAGCAAGTTGAACAGGGGAATTTAAAGGACAAGAAATTACGTCCTTACAAACTTGATGTATATATGACTCTCCTATTTTTGATTCTTCAGAAGACTCAGAGTTCTCATCCACCATATTTGAAGCTCTAGCATGTCCTTTAACATTGGGATTATTGACCAAGTTTTCAATCAAAACAGTAATACCTACATCATGAATTATATCTTGGGTAAATGGATAAGCAGGACTGATGCCCATTATCATCTTAGCTATTTCATGAATGAAAGGATCCTTAGTTAACTTAAGTAGGGCAATGAGTTTATCGAACTCTTTAGGCTCTAAACTAAAGGCACGCGATTTGCAACGACAGGCTTTTGGATTGGGCCCATACTTTTCCCTACTCCTAACCTGTTCTTTGATCTCAGCTAAGGTCTGAAAGTAAGGCCCGTTATAGGGTGGGATCTTGGTCAGAGGCCGAATCCCCAGAGGAGTTTCAATCAAGGTCTCGACCAGAGTCCAATTCCTTTCTGGAGGCAAGGATTGTTCTCCTCCCTCTATTGGGACTAGGACACTGTACCTGGCCCTTGACCATGCTGCTGCTTTTTGCTTTATAGTAAGTTCGTGTTTGGGTGTGGGCTTGGGCTTTTCCTGGATCTTAGGTGGAGGCTTATAAACTTGATAAGGGTTCTCTTCTTCAGGCCAGAACCAGGACCCTAAACTAGGCTCTTCTCCAGTCCAGAACCAGGAGCAGATATTTTTTTCATCCTCATCACTGGGCTCGATAATAATACCACCTCTGTCTCCAGCCCTAAACTTGATGCTGCCCTCTCTCTCTCTTTGGGGCCTGGATCCAATATTGGCCTTATCATCAGCTTTGGCAAAGGACCTGATAGTGGCCTCACTTCCAGCATCAGCCTTGACTTCATACTTGGTCAAAGCACTGACCCTGGATGTAGGCATGGCCTTTGAATTGTATGGGGGTACTATACCAGATTCTGCCAGAAGTTTTGCCTTAGTTTCAGCCATGACTCTAGTTTGTCATAGCTTCCATTTTGTTCACTTCCCTTGTCATAGCCACGGCCTCAATGTAGGTCACTGTCTGTTTTCTGGCCACTGCTCCATCCTCAGCCTTGGCCTGGTTCACTGGTCCTGTTTTCAGTTCTGCCTCAGTCACTGCCTTGGTCTGGATCTTAGCCTTGACTCTAGTGTTGGTAGGGCCACTGATTCCAGCTTTTGGGCCAGCCCCAGCCCTTCCTCTGCCTTTGCATTAGCCTTGGAGCCAGTCATGAACCAAATTAAAGGCAAGGCCAATTTATACACCCCCACCCCTGTCAAAGCCTCGACTGAAGGTCTGTCCCAGGTTGGTGTTTTCATACAAAGTCCAGTAGTCATTCAGCCCCCTTTCCAACTACAGGCTCTGCCAATGACATAAACAATGTGCAGAGGAAGTTCGCTCAGGGAAAGGAAAGATGGCTGTGTGCCTGAGCGCAGCCCGGTGGAGGGTGGTGGTCTTCAGCCACTCCAAGGCCACCAGATCTGCCACTGAAGTTGGACCTAAGGGTGGAGGAAGGAAATGGGGCTTTGAGTCTCTTCCATTTTTTCTTCATTTGATTAGCACAGAGACCTGAGATTATGGAAGTTCAGTGTAAGTGGGAGAGGTAGGTAATTAGCAATCTCTCCCTTAATTGCACATTCCCTACAACTATAGGTCCTAGTAATCTTTCCAGACACAAAACAAGTATAGGGAGTAGGAAAACTGGATGGGAGTGAGAGCAACTGAAGAGTCCCTAGACTGGCTCTTTACCCCTGCTGGACCCAAGCAGATCTCCACTACCTCATCCTATAGTACTACTGAGGAAGTCTCCACACCCATACCAACCTGCACTGATCTAGATTAATTTCTCCTTCTTTCCTTGCTTCCAATGATGATAAGCCCTATAGCAGACCTACAGGCAGATCTATGGACAAATAAACATATAGAAAGATACAGAAACTGATCTCTTGGTAGACACTTCAGTCCCTGTTCCCTATACTTGCAGTTTGTCTAGTGTTTTCCCCTCCCAGTCCCTTCCTCCCATTGCCCCGCATCAAGAGCTGCTCCACCTCTTCCTTGCCGCCCACCATTTTCCTCTTCAGTGATTGCCTGGGCACTTCCTTAGTTCAGAATTGGGCTAGGGTGAAGCACACGGATTGGAAAATCAGGTGAGAAGTGAGAAAAGCAGACGTTACCCTTCTATACCCCCAATACTTATGAAGATTCCCAACTAAATCAACAGGGGACTGAACAGGGGTTACAAAACTGGCAAAACAGAAGGGATATAATTCTCTAGTCTCATTCACCCCCTGCCTTCTACCTTTGCACCAATCTTAACATACACCGGGTACTGCCCTTCATCATTTCTTAGCTTCACATTGGGTTACTATTTTTAAACCTTCACAACAACTGAGAGTTCCACAGACCTACTGACTCACAAATACAGAGATAAATAAACAGACAGGAGACAATGGAGACTGAGTCCTTGGTAGAGAGAGCAGCACCTAGGGCACCAATTCCTTCTGGATATAGGTACCTCTTTGCCAAAATTTTCTACCTTGCTTTTTTCCTCCCCCTCACCCCACATCTCCAAACCCCTCTGCTCCATTCCCAAAGTCTTACAATTCCCTTGCAGAGACAACTCAAACATCCATGCAAGATAGTGGTGGTGGTGTCAGTAGGGATGGAATGCTCAGACAAGCCATAGAAGTTGGCTGGGAAATCAATAAAAAGTGTTATTTCTAAATTCCACCTAAGTTCTTACATTTCCTTACTCTCTTCAAAGCCTATCATTTTCTGCAACACAATGGGAGTAATAACGGACTGCTTGGAAAGCTGGCAGGAAGATCTGCAGTTTCCCCTAGACCCCTACCTGCTCTTGTCTTAGCCGTATACCACCTCTAAGCACTACCCACTTTACAAAAATTAGGCTAATTTTCTTTTTCTTATCTCCTTCCCTTGAGGTCCGTTGCCCGCTACAGATCCTTACAGAATTGTGGAGTACCGCCCACTTAGGGACAGACCTACTTTATAAATACATGATACACACCCAAAGACCAAATGAAAAGACGGTGGGAAAGACGTGGTTATCAATGGTTATTAATGGTCAGACTAATAACCAGGACATGAGACCTTTCAGGGCCTTAATTATCAGACACAACCAGCTTTTACACCCTCTCCCTCCCAGTCTCCCCAGAAGACTGTT